TTGCTTGCTGGCTGGGAAATTCTGGAAGTTGAAGTCCACACATCTTAAAGTTGCTGTGGTTGAGAAACCCTGCACTAGAGAAATAAAACAGCAATGGAATATTGTAATCATATAGGAAGCCAATTGTCTGGTTCATCCCATAGGGTTGCAACATTTCAGAGAGTAAATTCCATCCAGTAGCTCCATGTAAGTGTGGTATGGAGAGAGCACGTTGATCCAGAAATCTCTCCCAGGCCCGTTGGTCATATTTCATTGAGTCAATCTGATGTCTTTGGAGTAGAGGTTCTTCGTTGTAAGCACCATTGCTATTAGTGAATGAAGAGTACTGAGAGCTTCTGACAAGAGAGTCTATTCAGAACATGCTGATGTTGGGTATGAGATTTTCTCTCTTGCTTTTGTTAAGCTAGATCACTTAAGTTTTACAAGTTGACACTACAATATATTGATGGAATCCTGAAGGTAAATGCAGGATTAATGCACAGACCACCATGCATATGGAATATGGTATAGCTGATAACCACCACATAGAGTACAATTGGTGCTGGCCCTCCATTTTCAGCCCAAGGCAAAGATCATGCACACTTTCATATCCAAGTGAAAGTCAAATATATATATCTTTTCCCAACTGCAGGTACTGAACAGACTAAGCAGATTGTGTTTGGGCCAACAAAAGAGCCAACGTTTGTCACTGTTCCTCATCACAGCTTTGGAGAACCATTTGTGCTGAGTCCTCATGTTTGGTCTCTGATCATTGAAGCTGAAGGCGTCCTGCTGGTAAGACTGGTCCTCCTTTTCCCCCCATGGTCAGGATGGAGGCAAAAGGAACCTGGGTCTCATATTTCCATTCTTCCTTCTAGGATTATCTAGTCCTGCTACCCAGCTCATATTATGAGGCTCCTATATTACAACTCAAAGTATCAGATCCTTGTACTTATAGCCCAGCTCCTGAACATGTGGGTCAAAAGTAAGCCTTCCATTTTCATTTTTTATCATACTTCTGTACTGCATTTGACCTAGAGTTCACTTGGGATGTGAGGACATGGGCAGTTTTCTGTTGGGTTAGCTGAGCCATCCATTGCTTGCTTTATTTAAAAAAAAGAACATCACAGGAGTCTCTAGGTACTACACCTACACAGCCTATGCAACTGGAAGGTAATGCACGTGTAGCCAGTCTTGTTGGGAATGCCAGAAAGTGAGTAGTGAAAGCTGATTGCTGTCTCCCGTAGTAATTATACCTTCTTTTCTTTGTAATGGTCAATGACCAGTCCAAAAATCACATTAAAAAATAATCAAAGCAGCCAGTTTAGAACAGAGGTTCAGGTTTATGATTGGCAAGTAGACACTTGTTAGGAAGAATATAATAACAAAGATGAAAGGAAAGGGAAAATCCCCTTCAAATCAAATTCAGCTAGTATTTTCATGGACATTCCAATGTAGTGTTCTTGGTAACCATGTGGAACTGGTTTGCCATTGTCTTCTTCGGGTGTTTTTTCAGTTTCTCAGTCAAGCCTGAAGCTGTGGGATTTCTCAGAGGTCCAAGTAAAATAATAACAATTGAAAAAGTAAAATTGAAGTAAAATCAGGTCTGACAGATGAGCTTTTTGAGATAAGCCAAGGTCAGCTAAGTGCTGCGAAGTCTATTTTAGGCAATTTTCTCTTCAAAATATTTCTCCAGATTTTATTTGGGTAGGAATTTGGCCAGGATTGAAATAGTACTCATAAGGACTGAAGTCCTACACACAGACTTTTTAAATCCTGTGAGCACATGGGCTACAGGAAGTTAACTCTGTTTAGAAGTGCAGTGTTAATATTGGATGAATATTGCTTCTTACTTTGGGCCTATAAAATACTCGTGTTTTTTTTCCAAATAGCCCTGTAAGTTTAGGGAACAGGAAAAACCAATGTGAATCCTATTGTATCTCTCCCATCCCTTATTTTTTGCTTCTGGCATTCTAAAGACAGACTTGAAAGGGCATGTGAAATGTTCCCCTTTTTTCTTGATCAGTGATGGGAAATGTCAGCCCCTTGACCCATTTTCATGCTATCTGATTGCTTCATTTCTCTAAATGCCGTGATGTCTTGCCATACCGGGAGAGAGAAGGGGTGCTAGGAAGAGTGAGAGAGATAACAGTGGTGTCAGAGAGAAAAGACAGAAAAAGGGATAGAGGAAAAAATGAGAAACAAAGACAGGGCTCTGCCTGTATAATCCTCTGGCCATATCCGCTGTTGATTTTGGCCTGCCCACTGCTGACATGCGTTCTCCATCAGATGATTCCCCCAGAGCAGTGTCGTTCTCAGTGTCAAAAAACTGGCTGAAAAAAATACATATTTTATCTCAAGATGAAGGGGGATATCTGCTGCTTCTCAAAATAAAGAAACTGTCTTGAAAGTGGGAACCTGTGAACCCTTGAAGAAGGGTTGCATGCATATAGGTATGAGCAAACTAAATAAAATGCTGATAATTGAAGATAATTCTGCCCGTACTGACTTTTCTTTTTTTCCTCATTTAACTGGTAATTGGACAGTAGGAGAAAAAAGTTCTTTTCCGTTCTTTCTAGTTGCTATATATATAAGTATGTGCCTGTGGAGCAGTTCCCCTTTGGGTCAGGGGAAGATGCTTTGTGCAAGTTGGACAACAACTTACCAAGACCGTGTCCTATACAGCAGATCTTTCCTACGTACCCCAAATTGGTGATGTGCAATGGTGCTCATGTAAGTACTTCCATTCATGTCAAATCTTGAGTTAAAGCTTCTAGCTCCAATAAAGAATAAAATTCCTGAGGCTTTGGAATCAAAAGTAGCCCTCCCATTGACATTTTTAATGCATTAGAAGGCCAACGTGATTAAATGAATGAAAAGCATTCGTACTCAGTATCTTTAAACTAAATTAGTTTTAGCTTTGTCCTGGCTGCATCCACGTTAGATGGGACATGGTTCCCAGAAGCCCTTTGAAAGTTGGTACTGAAGAGCTCTTGGTGTAAAAAATTGTGCCTCTCCCCAATGCTTATCTTTATAATACAGCATTGTTCCCAGGTAGGGAAACATCCTTTCAAGTTCTGTGTTCTGGGTGTGCTACCATTGAAGGGGGGTCAAGATGGCCTAAGGTTGCCTTACCATTTTCTTGAACTCTCTCTCTCTCTCTCACTCACACAGACACACACACAGACACACACACATATACTTCGTAAGTATACCAATGCCCTTTGGAAAAATGTCTTTAATTGGACAAAGCTATTGGTGTTTGTTAGTTCTGATAGGTTTATGCAAGTTCCATACTTGCATGCAATATACCTGTGAATAATCAGTTGCTGGAATCATCAGAAGGAAACGCCTGTGGTCTGCAGGCCTGCTTTTGTTAGCTTCCTGAAAGCAGCTGGTTGATCATTGTGGGAAATGAAAAACTGGTAAAACTGGTCTAAAGGGACCCTGTTTGCTCTGATCCAGCTGGGCTTCTCATCAATCCTTCTCAGCAAGGAAAGGCAACTTGGACCTTTCTTTCAGGCCCAGCTTAAACACCTGTGAATTTGGCAAAATATTATTAAATATATTAGCCCAAATTCTCAGTTTCCTGGCTTGAAGGCTGAGGCTTGGGATATGGAAAAATGGGTTTCCATCCCTTACACCAGTGTTTCTCAACCTTGGCGAATTTAAGATATGTGGACTTCAGCTCCCAGAATTCCCATGCTGGCTGGGGAATTCTGGGAGTTGAAGTCCACATATCTTAAAGTTGCCAAGATTGAGAAATACTGTCTTACACACTTCCTAGGATGAATGCTATTAAAATAAATAGACATAGGATTTCACTGTAACAATGAAAACATGATTTAATGGACTCGCATTTAGTGGCGTTTGAATGCAGTTGACCTTATTTTTGTTTGGACATCCAGATGTGGCAGTTAAATTTATATTAATTGTATGATGTCTATGCCAATGTAGATCATTTGCATAATAATTTTCAATATACAAATGATGTAAGTTCTGTCTGTGGATCCCATTATGCAAATCATGTCATTTATACCATGTTATGCAAATGGTGTAACTTGTGTCATGATAGAAATGATGCAAGTTGCTGTGATAATGTATGTTTACATTTAAAGAGATTTGGGAGCAGTATTTACACCCCTTTCCCCAAATGATCTGTTAAAATAAAGCTTTATTGCACTCTGACCTTGGTATTTCCAAGATTGTCTTAGAGGCAATTCCATTGAGAAATTCACCCAGAAAGTCAATGCTGGAGTTGAAATGTGAAAAATTTATTGTTGAGCAAGATTCAAACATTTCATTTTCATCCTGCTTCTTCTCTTATGTTTTCAGTAGAAGATAAACATACTATACATCAGTTCTGGGTCTCCCATATGTCTTTTACAGGGATTTTCCTGAAAATGTTTTCTTGAAGAAAAATCTTATGCCAAAAAATGGCTTATAAGGTTTATGAAGAATCTATTGGAAAGCACACCCATCTTTTGCTTAATTCGGCTTTTTCTTTTCAACAGGTGGAAGTACAACTGTTAATTTCTGTACCCCAGTCAGGGAGATATGTGCTTCTGATGGAATATGCCAATGAAGGTACTCCACAGACAATTGACGTATCTGTGAGGACACCACAGCTTGCCACTCAGCTGGGCACTCTCACAGCATACACCTGCAAATACAGGTATGTTCCCAGATGATGAGAGATGGGAAGTTGTAGACGTGATCATCTTTTCTTCTCTTTCCTTTTACTGTTTTGCTCCAGATTTTCAATAAGCCTTCCTAAACTGAGAAAAATCATTCAAGCTTCTTCCATTTTGACTTGTCCAAAAATTGTCCAACCCGGCCTCGGGTAGCATTTTCAGAGGCTATGGGTAGTTATGATTTATAGCTTGTCAAACAGTCCATGTTTTGAAGGTCGAATGGTCTGCATCAGCATTTATTGGGTGGAAGTTATGTGCTGTTTAGATTCCTGGCCTTGTAAATATCAGGGCCAGCAATTAGGCCAAAAGTCCACATCCTCAGAACAAGACATGGCTGAGATGAAAATAGCACATGCATCCTGAACTGTGATGAACTATTTAAACAACTAGACAGTATTTATATAAATGATGGATGAATTACACTGTCTGGGAACTGCTTTTTTTGCAAATCTGTATACAGATTGTGACCTTAACAATAGGAAATGAGGCCCTGGGATATCCTTCAGAAGCATCTCCTTGCCATCACTCAACTAATTCAAAGCTTATAAGAACTCTATATTAAAACCATCAACAGCGGAAAGACATATTTGGCAGGAAAATGCCACCCTTGAGTTTGACCTCTGTTTTTGTCTTACAGTTTCCTTTGCCGTGGGATAGTTTTAGATTCTCTAAATCGCTTGGCAGTGTTTGAACTTGTCACAGAGGCTACGGTTCAGCTCACTGCAGATCAGGCCCGTTTCTTCCTGGTAAGTCTTTGAAGGAGAACATTTCCAGCAAGGAAAACCATTGGATGCACACTTGAGCATCTTAAGTTGGAAAGGTTAAACTGTTACCTGCATGGGAGGGGTGAGCAGGGAGGAGTTGGAAATTCAACCTGAGTCTAAGCCCAGAAGAGGCAAGATTTAGGTCCAGTTTTTTGCTCTTGAAAATCAGCTTATCGGAAGAGCATTTTGCGGGAGGAGAAATTGGCAAATTCCAAAGATCTGCCCATTGTCCCTGTGTCGCCTCCTATTGTCATCCTAACCAGGACAAGCTGCTATCCTGCACTTCAGTTTGGTCCTTTTTAGTCTCCTGTTACAGTTTGCATAAGAATTACTTGAATTACTTTCAGTGAAATAAACGTTAGATTTTATAGAAGCTATGCAAGTATGCCTTCCTTTTTTACATATACTCTCAAAACTAGGCACTTTTTGTGATTTTTGTTGGTCTGGATCTCATGCTAGAGGCCTCCAAACTACCTTCCCTTAAGGGGGGATGGGGCTTATACAGCTTAAATGTTATATTAACTACTGACTAGTAGGAGGCACTACATGACTGTTTTTGTCCTTATTGGGACTCTTCAGGTGTAGGTATCCTCCATGCTAGATATTCTATGTTTAACCCTTTAATGGGATTTGAACCCATAGGCCTTGTGCTCGTTGACTATACAGTGCATTTAGCTTTAGAACTATCTTGACCTGGACCCAAAACATTCTTAAGTACAGAGAGCACCCTTTCTTGCAAGCTACTGATAGCCAGTAAATCCTCTGTGTAGTCAACAAGCACATGTCCTGTGGGTTCAAATCCCATTAACAGTTGAACATAGGACATGTATCCCTGAAGAGTCCCAGTGAGAATGAAACTGATTGTGTAGTACTTCCTACAGGTCAGAGGCTAATATACCATCTAAATGTTGGTTTTATTACAGGTAATCCTTATTTATTACTGTCTGATGAGGCATTACAAATAGCTGTGGAAAGAAGGAATGTGAAAAGCAAGGGTGAAAGAGAAA